ACGATCCCTAGATAATTACGATCCTTATCCTTTGCGAAATCGAATTTCAGTTTTATGATATTGCTTTCAGTAACGACGGAGTAACCGAAATTTTTGGGACAAGAACATTTCACTTTGCTAGCTGCTTAATTGAACACAAGACCACAGTTCTGGTCAGATCAGAGCTGGTAGTTTGCGTGCGTCCAAGTAGATTTCCGTTTTTCAAACTGCGTTTTTCGTGTCTCGGTAATTATGCATCGAAAAACATCGCGTAAACGTCAAAGAGGATCATGAATGATGATGCTAGATCCCATAATAAAGAAATTATTAATTATAATTATAAGTCGTATGAAACTGAAGTTTTCTTTGTCCATCGCTTGACACGTCCACTAATATGTAAATTTCTTTCTTTCGCACTGTCAGGCACGCGTCCACCAATTGTCTTCTTTGTACATATCTACATTCTACTTCAGTCAAGCTGCCGAGCTTTACTTTCCTTTGTCCAAATCCTTGTTATAAGTTAATTTCTGCAAGATCGTCATTTATTCACAGTCAGGTAAGAAACTGCTGTCGCTACTCGATTTAATTTTTGTTTCAAATTCCTCGGAAAATGGCGAAACTTTCGCCGCTTCGTCACAGTCATGCCCTTGTATTTGGTTGGGCGCATTCAAAAGATGTTCACCTTATACAGTTGATAGCAAATTCAACTTTGTATTGCTGACATATTTATCTCTAACGTTGACTCGAGTACGAAACAAAACAAACCCTGAAAAATAACTACCTAAATAAAGTCTGATGGGTTCTTAAAACAAAGAAGAAAGCAGGTAGCCTTTGATATCAGAAAAAATATTTCGCCATATGTCATTGCCACTTTCAGTTTCTCGCTGCAGTCGAAGATGGTCGATTATATCTTTTCCTCGAATACCTCGTTAAGGGTTGCCGACTCAATATTTTGCTCTGGGCAGCCAAGTGTATCCATATAACTCAGCGGGGTAACCAAAACACTTAAGAAACTAGCAACAAAAATCAACAGCTATTAAAACTATATATGCTATGCATAACTCAGCGGGGTAACCAAAACACTTAAGAAACTAGCAACAAAAATCAACAGCTATCAAAACTATATATGCTATGCATAAGCAAACCTTTTCTCTTGAGATATTTCTACGTCAAAACATCCGGTTCGAAACTNGGCACGCGTCCACCAATTGTCTTCTTTGTACATATCTACATTCTACTTCAGTCAAGCTGCCGAGCTTTACCTTCCTTTGTGCAAATCCGTGTTAAATTAATACCTCCAAGATCATCATTTATTCACAGTCAGGTAAGAAACTGTAGTCGCTACTCGATTTAATTTTTGTTTCAAATTCCTTGGAAAATGGCGAAACTTTCGCTGCTTCGTCACAGTCATGCCTTGTATTTGTTTGGGCGCATTCAAAAGATCTTCACCTTATACGGTTGATAGCAAATTCAACTATATTGCTGACATATTTATCTCCAACGTTGACTCGAGCATGAGACAAAACAAACCCAGAACAATAACTACCTGAACAAAGTCTGAGGGATTCTTAATTATAAAACAACGAAGAAAGCACGTAGCCTTTGATACCAAAACTGAAAAATATTTCGCCAGATGTCATTGCCACTTTCAATTTCTCGCTGCAGTCGAAGATGGCCGATTATATCTTTTCCTCGGATACCTCGTTAAGGGTTGCCGACTCAATATTTTGCTCTGGGCAGCCAAGTGTATCCATATAACTCAGCGGGGTAACCAAAACACTTAAGAAACTAGCAACAAAAATCAACAGCTATTAAAACTATATATGCTATGCATAACTCAGCGGGGTAACCAAAACACTTAAGAAACTAGCAACAAAAATCAACAGCTATCAAAACTATATATGCTATGCATAAGCAAACCTTTTCTCTTGAGATATTTCTACGTCAAAACATCCGGTTCGAAACTTTTCGATTTATTTTTCTAGCTCAATGTTTATTTCTCTTATCTCGATTGGAAAATGATGGAAAAACGCCAACAAGATATTTTGACGAGAAGTAATCTGGGCGCTTCCGTAAAGAAACGTAATGAGATAGTAGAGTCGCAGAGAAAACTATAGACGGAAAACTAATTGGAATTTGTACCGTTTCCCTACTGTGTTACTGCTATATTTTAGTAATATAAACGCTGAAAGTAAATTAATCCGAATTATACAACGAAGCAACAGTTTACTATCCGAAGGACTGTCGCATTTATGAACAGAAAACAGGTACAATGTGTTTAGAAAACGAAATTGACCGCATACGCCAAGAAGAAGTTCATAAATTAGACGAAAAAAATTATAAACAAGATGAAAATTCTTCACCATCAGCTGCCATGAAGGGTGAACAAATAATCCCATCCCCACCCCAACAGATATCTTGGATTTTAGACCTGGACACCTGCTTACTGTAGTCAAATGTAAAATATCATGTTTGTTTAAAAATGCTACAATGTTTTGCGTGGAGCTGTTTTGGAAATAGTCCGTAAAGTGCTGGAAGGGTGGTAAATGTAGATATTGCAACAAGAAAACCGGCATCGGTCTTAGTTTAAACTCAAGGCTATTTTTCAAACTGATAAGATTTTGAGGCTGATGAATCTGAGCATTATTAAAATTTTTTGTTGATCTAAGCCTGAGGCGTTCTAAAAATGTTCTTTAATTAAATTTTTATAACAAGCTTTCTTGCTCTTGTCAATGACGGCAACTCCGCGCGCGTGAACTGCAATCTCCTCCCCAGAGCCCGCGCGTTTTCTGTCAGCGAAATGGACCTTTTCAGCGATACGGCGGCCATTTTGAATTCTACTGTTTCAAATAGCTATTATGGGATGCTCAGGGGGTAAATACATACTAATTTGCCCCCTGAAGATCCCATAATAGCTATTTGAAACAATAGAATTCATTAAGGTGCCGTATCGCTGAAAATTTCGATCCGTTGATTCTTTGTCGATTGTTTTGTGTGGTCAATTCAAAGAATCTTGTAAACAGTGTAGGTCGCCCAATTGATTTCCGCCCTGAAATCGATTTTGTCACAAATTTAACGTATTGTTCTTTTTAGTTGAAAGACAAAGATGTCATCAAAAAAGAATAAACCACCTCAGTTACCGTTACGGCAGGAAGACATAAATAAGAGCGAGTCTGAAACACAGACAAGCAACAATGCAGATGTTCAATCCATAAAAGACATGGATAAACTTGGAAACCTGAAGCCACCTATAAGCCCCTTGACCAAAAAGTGGTTCAGAAAGCAGTTTGGCATACGCAAAGGAATCACGCAACTGGATGGCGGGTCAGAAGGGCAGACCATAAGTACTGCATCGTGTCAGAAAAGTCGACGTCGTTCAAGCTCGTTACCAGACCTCGCCGCGATGTTGGACGCCGCCAGTTTAAAGAGGCATGCTTCCCTGAGGACGCGATCCCCTGGTCCTCTGAGAATGCCAGCACCAAGAAAAGAACCTGTTTTGTCGAAATGACTACTTGATTGAGAAGTTAATTTTCCGTTAGCTAACAGCCTTGGAAGATTGGTCTTCCAGAGTCTCACAAGAGCTGGACTCGAGAACATTTCTCTTCCCCGACAGAAATGTCGATTTTCGTTCCTTGAGACCTCGAGGTAATCCGACGGAGCCTGGAAGCCCTAGACTTGTCTGCTTTAAAGCCAGTAGTTTTTTTTTTTTTTTTTTTTAATTCTAGAGCTTTAGAGCCATATGCATAAACTACTATGGCAGCCTGGTCGGTGGTGATTATAGAAACTTCAAAGATATTTGTATTCCAAATCCAATATTTTGGTTTGTTTTGTTTTTGCTTTTATTAATTCTAGAGCTCTAGAGCCATAAACTACTTTGGCAGCCTGATCGCTATGGGAAAATAGAATTTAAGGATCAAAGAAATCTCTATTTCAAATCCAAATTATAATACGTATAATTTGACTGCATATAATTGTAATTATGCATACAATTATACTGCATATAATTTGCTGCATCAAAAGACCTTGTTGTCTCGCTTTTTAAAAGAATGACATTAATTATGTGATTAAGATAATCAAAAAATCGAGCGGCTATTGATTTAGAAACCAGTCTTTACTCTAGTTAATCGTTTTTATAACACAAGAATTAAGAAGTCAAATCAAAATATTTTATGTACATTCCAAATCGTGTTTATCCACTCCTCAACCAGTGCTATGATGTAAGGTGTAAATCCAAAAATAGCAATTAAATTAAAATGTTCAGCAACTAAACCTGACAGATTGATTTAACTTTTATTTCAAAAAGAGGTTTTTGTTTTTAATATTTTCGTGGTAAAAAATTTTTTTAATAAAAAGCTACACTTTAAAGAAACAGCCATCGTTAGTTATCATAATTAATGCTTATCGTAACAGACAAAAATAGGTAATTTCGTAGTAATTTTAAGCAAAAAAATCTTGAGAACAGTTTTCAACGCAACCGGTTATCGTAAAATAACTCTGTTTCTTGTGCTTAGTTTAATTTGTTCTTATCGTTTGATCTTTGTTAATAAGTAAAAATTCGTTCAACAAAGTCATGCAAATTAAAGGTATGAATGATCATCGCCTTTATGTACACAACTTCAGTTGTGAAAAAAAAAAAACGAAGCGAGAAAAAAACAACAACAACAACAATTCAGGCTTGGTTGGGACTCAAACCCATGACCTCCGCCATGGTACACAGTTCTACCACTTAGTCCACACGCTCAGCCCAGCTCTTGCCATCGTCCTAATATTTTCCTAGCTATTCTTGAGTTTTGATTGATCTGTCATGGTACCTGCGATGTGATTATTGTGGTTTTGGTTTTATGGCAGTCTTGAAAAAAGAGCGCACTGAGCATGAAAACAGAAACAGAAATAGGAAACTGTGATTGGTTGAAAAGCTGGTATCCCTCACGTGGTACCTCACGTGGTACTCTGTAATAGATATAATTTTGCGGGAGCTTTTTTAAACCAATCAAAAAGAAGTTTATAGTTAGCTCGTTAAGGTGTCTTTAAGAGTTTTACTCAGGAACAGGCCTGAGGTTAATGGGTTAATTTTAGACTAGAAATTAATATAGCAGTGTATAAAGTTCCTATACTTCTACGTTTCTGTTGTTTCAACAAAAAAAAAAAGAAGACATTGTAGTGAATTTGTTAACATGTGGGACATACAATAGATTGAAAGAAAATATATATTTTTTTTTGGTATGAATTTCAAGAATTTTTAACAATTAAAGGAGCTCAGTCGCGGTACATATTTTGAGTTATTTTGGCCAGTTACAAAATTTCCTTTAATTTGAAGCAAACCAGGCTGAAAAATTGTCGTTCACAAGATAGAAAAACACCAAAGAGATAATCTTAAACCGTAAACAGGGGAGTAGCTAGTGGGGTCCTGGGGTGCCCGTGACCCCCCCTTTTGTATGAGTACTTTGACACAGTATGGACCCCCCCCCCTTGAAAAATCCTGGCTACGCCCCTGATAAAGGAACAAGGATGGTTAAAGACAGAGAAGGTTAACACGGATTACAAACGACGAACTTGAAAAGTTTGGGCTAAACTTTGTAAGACGCGCAAACCGTGACCCACTCCTTTAAATTGCCAGCCGGAGTTCATGAGCGAAAAGGTAAGGGTGAGAATTTTCTTCGATCACAAGTACTTAATCAGTAAGTTGTGTATTCATCTGCGAAGGTCTTTCTTCGAGTTAAAATAACAATTTAGGTTGGTAGATAAGGAGTTTACAACGAATAGCCACCCATAGCGAGGACCAAATACAACATAATGAGTTTGTACTTAAAGCAATGAGTTTATACTAAAGACATTGAGTTTATATTAAAAGCAACAATATCTCTGTTACTGACCTCCTCGAAGTAAACAATATAATATATTCATTACCGCGAATTGCATGTTTTATTGTCTAGTACGTTATTAGTCTTGCTCTTAATTATACTTCTATGCCACGCAATACGAGTTTGTTAATCGAAAGACAATAAGTTAAGAGTGAGGTACTTGAAGATTTAATTTAAAAAAAACAAAGCTTGGCAGGTAGCATTTAAGCGCGTTCGATTTTTTCGCACGAAATAACGTTAATACAAAGTACTAATGAAGCTGTAAAGTAAAACTTAATTTAAATACTGTTTACTTTTGGTTTTAATCTGTGCTGCGCTAAAAACGATTTAGATTAGAACAAATAAACTCAAACAATATGGCTAAATTGATTTGCTTTGTTTCAAAATACAGTGGAGTATTTTAGATTGAAAATACAGGATTATGTTATGTACTCGAACGGTGAAAACACTGAAAATTAAATTGAATTGATTGAACACTCCATAGCTTGAGTTAAGAAAGTTGGCTTTTATCTCTTAAGTAGCGACACGTTTTTAATTTGTCGCAGATTTCGGACAAATCCGAAAGCGAAAGCGATCGTCGTCGTGTCGCTAGGTCCAGCTTTGGGTTTCCTTTCGGGAACGGAATTTCTCGAGGGGCTAAATCGTCGCTGAGGTGATGCGTTCGCTTTCCTTTCTTTGAACCGGAATAAAGCCGATTAAAAACGTTGATCTTTTTCGCTTCCTTTTGCTTTGTTTGCTCTTTAGATGACGTTACTGGAAGTAACAAAAGCCCTCTATGAACTTCGCTTCCTCCGCTATCTCCGGAGGAAGCAGTGGCAGGTCTTCTCGGCAGTTGAGCTTGATTCTGTGCCAGGTTAAATTTGAACACTCCTGGACTCGTGGAAGAATGCAATGGGGGAGGTGATTCCGGGTTTGACCTTAGTAACCGCGGTGATAACAGATGCTTACTTTCTGTATTTCCTTCACGCCGCAAGTCGTTCGCATTAGCAATTGAATTAGGATTTGATAGCATCTGTGGCGAGCTCGATTGCCTTGTTAAAAGCTTGTGACTTGGCTGTGATGACTCGAGAGGCGATAGCGGTGGGGGTGCGGCATTCGGCGACGTGGCTGGAGGAATATTCCTGGCTTTTCGAACCCTCGGTGGTGTTGCGATGACACCGGCTCTATCTAAATGCATTAGTGGCGGAAGGTTATGGGCTTTCTGCAGCTTATTGACCTCCTCGTCTTTGCGCGAGCCTGTTTTTAAATCGAGCATTTCATGTTGCGAGGTTGGTGTGCTTGTCCTAAGACCCTCAGATACGCTCGGCGACTTCACGAGAACTTTACGCCGCGTGGATGGAGACGTAAAAAATACTTCGTCTCTCTTAATTTGCAAATTTAAAAGCCGCATATCTCTTTCAGCTTCCAAGTTTTTCACTTGTCTCTCAAGCTGATGGCTTTTTTGCGAGTTAACGCTCAACGCGTTTCGGACAGAAACGCTGACTTTCCTAGAAACGTGGTCTTCCATCGCTCGGTAACACCGATCCAGTAGGCGGCGAAAACAGAACGCGCTTGTCAGACTAACAACCCAACGATAAATGAATTCAAATCTTTGAAACACGCGTTGTCCCACGCAGATGTTTTCTCCTTTTGTAAGCACATAGGTTTAAAGCTGTCTAAGAGAAGAGTATTTGTCAAAAGAGATTGCTTACGGCACTATGCGCCTTTTAAGTTCTTTACTTGTCATAGGATAGTTATTACTGTTTGTTCAACTAAAGAATTGTGATTGGCTGAACTTCATTTCGTGTTAATTACCTGGGCGTCTTTTAAAGTCATGGATGGATTTGCTTAATAAATTTGCTTAAGGTACAACACTGCTCAAACACAAAACTTGCGAAATAAAATGCTTAGTTTTAGCTATTAGCGAAATTGATTTCGCGTTTACGTCTTTTAAAATCGCAAAATCTCTTTGTTGACGCAGGAGAATATAACACGATAAATGTACTGTGGAAGGCCGGAAATAATTTAGTTTTTGGTCATTTAAATCCTAAGACCTTTTCAGTAAAAATGGCTGTGTGCAATTTTGAGTAGCATAAAATTTATGTTATACATGTTTTAAATCTGCAGGTTTAACGAATATGTAATTTTTTTTTCAAAAAAATTATTTGTTCTGCAACATGAAAACGAAGATTTTCCTATTGCGGGTTGCGGTTTAATAATTAATTTTTCATTTCTAAGTGCACTCATGCAAAACAGCGCAAAAGGGTGTTAATTTGAAACCAGTGTTTACATCTAAAATCAACTTTTAGCGTATCCACGTCATTTTAGTTGCTTGGAGGCGGAACTTCGGTCAAAAACATTGCATCGCACAATAGAAAATTTAATAGCAGATTATTATAATGAGCTTGGCGGAAAAGCTAAAATGTGACGGAAAAACTCAATACTCTCCTTAATGGTGTTATCTTGAATACAAAGTCCTAAACGAAGCGGCCGACGAAAAGTAAACGAGCCTTTAGATACTATTAACTTCAGACATGAGTCGCGTTATCAACAAAAATTGTAACCACAAGTATTTTTACGTGGGAACTTGCCAAAAGGTTGTTGTGTTTTTTTGCGTAAACAGGATTAATGCAGATATCTAAGTAATACCTGTTGTTGAAATTAACATTTCAAATTTACTTCTAGTAACATTGACTAAAACATCTCGAGTGACAAAGATTTGTTAATTTCCATCTTCTATACGGGTGGACCTAACACTCGTCTTATAACTAAAACAATAAGCAACCGCGGGCTCATTGTCACACCAGGCCTCGCTCTAAGGATGCTTGACTTGCCTTCAAGACTTGCTTGTTTTGAAGACCACCGTGCTATCAACTATCCTCTATTCTGCCATCTATAATAGAATAAAAAGACACTTTTTGAAAACTGTGAGGATGCAAAATATAGATCGAAACAGGACTGTAAACAGAAACAACATGTTAAAAAAGCTAGAATACCTACCGTTCAATTTAGCCATAGGGGATCCCAGGCTCACAATAATGACTTATGGTTGTATTTTTGTATTCATCATATAGCGCAGAAAGAGATCTATGGAGTGAAATTTCGTTGCCTTGAAAGTTTGTTTCTTAAGCTACACCCATGGGAAGTTTTGAATCAAGTGCAGACGTGTGTTTGATGCTAATGACTGAAATTCTCGTGGATTTCTGAAAGGCTGTATGTGCACCATATAAGGCTTTAATGCCTGCAGGCTAGCTCCAAAATTGCGTTAACACCATCCAGACACCAAATACATTCGAAAACAGAAATGTCATACGCTATAATCTAAGAATATTCACAAGAAAAATAAGAATATTCAACCTCGGCCGAAAAATAAAAACAATATTCTTATAGCAAAACAGAGTCTATTAGAAAAATTGGGCCCGTTATATAGGAAATCTTTACTTGTTGGACTATACTTTATCTATATTTAATCAGCTCCCAATGCAAGGAAAATTTGAATTATAACGCTGTGTTTATTCCAATTTGAGAACTTGTTAACTGTCATGCTTAGGGCTTGAAGGAATAACAAAAAAAATACAGACCCCTGGTAGATAGTTAACACACCTTACAAATAATTTCTTCACAGCAGACCCCTGGCGTGGTTGAAATATTTCATTGTTACATCTAGGTCGATTTGAATTGATCCAGACAGGCTCTCACATGCAAATCAAAACATCGATATTAAGGACAAACATTTGGGTACTTGGAAAGGTTTTGAAAAAACTAACTTTATATAGAAATTGGAACAAACAGAAGCGAGAAAAAACCGGACGATTTATAAATGAAGAGTCTTCGGATGTTGGTAAGGTTTCGTTCTTGGGGATTAAGTTCAGCAATTTTATTTAGAAATACCTGCATTTAATGAGTTTTTAAACTTAAAAAAACTTACAACTGTGTTTCATATTTGTGTCTGCATATAATGCATGTGGCCTGGCCTAAAGCGCATTACACTTCCTAAGTTCTCAACTTAAATGTCATTCCATCACGAATGGGAAAAAATGGAAATATTGAAGACGAGAAGTTCTTTACTAATGCGCAACATCCCTGAACTTAGTCATTGTATCACGGTTTTCCGAGCTAAATTGAAACCTTGAAGTGTACTTCATTTAAGCCGTTACCACAACAAAACAATAAGTCGGATGAAGATGTTATTTTCATGACTCTAGTTATGAAATAATTTTGAACACGTTTTTCAAGTTGACTTCAACTAAAAACTCTTTACAATAAATGTTATTAATTATTAATTGTGGTTTGACTTGCTTTCGATTCAAAACGGCCAAATTTGAATTTCTCGAAATTTCTTTTTCGTTTTCTGCCCTTTTAAAATCACTTAAGCGACTTAAATTTGTTTTTCGTACAACAAGATAGCAATTCATTTCTTTTAATAAAATTTTATCGTCAATAAAACATTTTCGCTTCTTTTTTCTTTGTTTGTTGTTAAAATATTGCTGTCTAATGGTGCTGTTCCGCTATTTAAAATGATTTTAAATTTTTCATAAAGGGGCCAGACTTTTTTCCAAATTTAACTATATATTCAGTGCGGGAAGAATTCTTCGTAAATTTAGGCGGTTAAATATATCTACAGTGGTTAAAAATGATAGAGTCAAGACAACTAAACGCAAATTAAACAACTTGAAAATAGTTTTGCAAGTGTTAAATAATTGATAACATTCCCGACATGATCATACGAGTAAACAAATGCTTTTCAGAAGAGGCAAACTATCACAACTTACAACTAATTTTTAATTTGAATTCATTGAAACCGGTTTCCACTTGAAAGCGACACATGATTTTTGTGGGTAAGTCAGCTTTGTGTGATTAGCTGGCCCAAAGAGGGGCACATTGACCTTTTCTTTTCTTCATAAAATAGCGAAGCACTAGCGAGGTCTTTAAAAATAGTCACGTCAGCGTAACACAGTGAGGAACATCGTGTTCCTTAGCAATTTACATTACTAGCAAAAACGTTCAGACGATTTTAAGGTCGGACACAAAAAAGTGTCCGAAGAAGATAAAACCGTCCGAAATTTTTAAGCGTCCGCAATTTTAAACGTCTGAAATATTTACAGTACAGCATAAACTTGTTAAGTAGCTCCAAAGCTCTTAGATTCCTTTATGGAGAGAACTCTAGTTGAGCCACTACTTAAGATACGTAACCGCTTGGTACCATTTGTATTACTTTCTCGTCGGTCTAAAACCTCAAGGGTGCAGCAAAACTATCATTTTCAAAGATGTTGCAATTGTTTCAGACAGACCTTAATTTGTGTTTTCTGGGCGCCAATTTACCTTAGGTAGTTTTAACAGTGTCAGATATTTTTGTCCGAAATTTGTCGGAAATTTAATAAAAGGTGTCTGAAAATTAAACGTCCACAATAAGAGGCCCAAGGTTTTGCAAGTTATTTATTCCCATCGCAGATCTCGTGAATACAGTCAATCATCAGCCCATGGGATTTTGTCATCGCAAAAGAGCGCAAAAATGAACACCCCCCAAGTTCTAATATTGTGATGCGATTCGCTCCTCTTAACTGCTAACAGAATAAAACATTTCCGAGTTGCTCTTACCGATGTTTCAAAACGAGTCTTGGAGCACAACCTTTCATGTTAAAATGAGTTTATCTTGCACGTTCATTGTCTTGCAAAACAAATTCATTTCCATGTAAAAGGTTGTTCATCAGGACTCGTTTTGAAACAGAGGCGAAAGGCACCTTGTAAATGGCTTGTCGGCCTTTGTTTAGAATTTGATCTATTTTTTATTGTTTTCAGGTAGCGTTGATGCTATTCTCATACTTTCCAACATGTCACACATTCTACAATGTGTCATGTGTTCCAGAATGTAAGTATTATTATTATTTTTTTTTTTTTTTGNAATGCATTAGTGGCGGAAGGTTATGGGCTTTCTGCAGCTTATTGACCTCCTCGTCTTTGCGCGAGCCTGTTTTTAAATCGAGCATTTCATGTTGCGAGGTTGGTGTGCTTGTCCTAAGACCCTCAGATACGCTCGGCGACTTCACGAGAACTTTACGCCGCGTGGATGGAGACGTAAAAAATACTTCGTCTCTCTTAATTTGCAAATTTAAAAGCCGCATATCTCTTTCAGCTTCCAAGTTTTTCACTTGTCTCTCAAGCTGATGGCTTTTTTGCGAGTTAACGCTCAACGCGTTTCGGACAGAAACGCTGACTTTCCTAGAAACGTGGTCTTCCATCGCTCGGTAACACCGATCCAGTAGGCGGCGAAAACAGAACGCGCTTGTCAGACTAACAACCCAACGATAAATGAATTCAAATCTTTGAAACACGCGTTGTCCCACGCAGATGTTTTCTCCTTTTGTAAGCACATAGGTTTAAAGCTGTCTAAGAGAAGAGTATTTGTCAAAAGAGATTGCTTACGGCACTATGCGCCTTTTAAGTTCTTTACTTGTCATAGGATAGTTATTACTGTTTGTTCAACTAAAGAATTGTGATTGGCTGAACTTCATTTCGTGTTAATTACCTGGGCGTCTTTTAAAGTCATGGATGGATTTGCTTAATAAATTTGCTTAAGGTACAACACTGCTCAAACACAAAACTTGCGAAATAAAATGCTTAGTTTTAGCTATTAGCGAAATTGATTTCGCGTTTACGTCTTTTAAAATCGCAAAATCTCTTTGTTGACGCAGGAGAATATAACACGATAAATGTACTGTGGAAGGCCGGAAATAATTTAGTTTTTGGTCATTTAAATCCTAAGACCTTTTCAGTAAAAATGGCTGTGTGCAATTTTGAGTAGCATAAAATTTATGTTATACATGTTTTAAATCTGCAGGTTTAACGAATATGTAATTTTTTTTTCAAAAAAATTATTTGTTCTGCAACATGAAAACGAAGATTTTCCTATTGCGGGTTGCGGTTTAATA